AATTTAAAGCATTCAGAAATAATGTGACCTTTCTTATGACAATATTTGCACATGACATTTCTGTATCTGGATTTTAACCTTGATGTAGGTCTTTCACTACTTGAATCTTTCTTATTGGATCTACCTCTTATGAATAAGCCTTCCCCTTGGTTCCCACCAGTTTCCCCAGTAATATCTCTATCTATTTGTTCTTTTGATTTCAAAAGAGATTTGATATCTTTATAAGAGATATTATCTTTTTCATAAAGCATAGTATCTCTTATATGTTTAAACGACTGGGGTAAGAAAACAAGCAATAACACAGCTTGATCCTCATCTTTGATTTCAGCATCTAACAACAACAACAACAACAACCCAATATAATCCCACTAGTGGGGTATGGGGAGGGTAGTGTGTACACAGACCTTACCCCTACCATGAGGTAGAGAGGCTGTTTCCAATAGACTCTCGGCGTCCTTCTCTCCAAGAACTCCCACCTTGCTCTTGGGGTGACTCGAACTCACAACCTCTTTGATTTCAGCATCTATGTTACTTAAATCCATAAGGAGAGAATCAAAAGTATCAAGATGTGCAAGTATAGAGGTACCTTCAGCCAAACGAAAAGTGTAGAGTCTTTGCTTTAGGTAAAGCCTGTTTTCTACTGTTCTTTTCATATATAGAGTTTTAAGCTTTTCCCATATGCCTTTGGCTGAGCTTTCTGCTGCAACTTCACGCAAAACCTCATTTGAGAGATTTAAAATAATACATGCTTTTGCCTTTTTGTCTATGACGGCAAATTCCTTGTCCGTCATTTTATCCGGCTTCTTGTCATTTCCTTGCAGTGCCAAATCTAAGTCATCCTGAATTAGGATAGCTTCCATCTTTAATGGCCGCATTCCGACGTTTGCACTTCAGTCAAATTTCTCAACATAAGACTTTGTTAGAGTCATTTTGGCTATTTAAACTAACCCGGTTAGATCTGGGTTTGATACCAATTTGTTAGGATCAGTAAATCGGGTAGTGCGGAATTTAGCCAAACAATGTTATAATGACAATATCAAAGACAATGCAAGTTGATAATAACGGTAATTAAAGAAGATAAAGAAGACACAAATTTAACATAGTTCGGTCAAGGTGACCTACGTCCACAAGCAGAGAGGAGCAATTTCACTATACCAACAAGAGTACAAAAGAGAGTATAAAATTAGAGTAAATACTCTAATTAGTCCCAAATGCCCCAAGAGAATAACCTTACAAGATCACTCCAAATAAAGGGTTCACACAAGTGTTTCCCAACACTCACTCTCTTACAAAATACTCTATAATGAAATAAAAGAGGAGAAAGAAAGACAAGAATGAAAAGCTCTTGAATTGGTGTGCTTACAAATGAGGAGAAGCACATTTATTTATAGCAAGAAATCCTTGGCCTAATAGTGGATATTATGTCATGGCAAATGTCATGATCCACAAATTTGTTATGGTGGATATTATGTCATGGGAAATGTCATGAAAATTTGCCCCCCACTTGAGAAAAAGCCAAATTAATGGCCATATTACATGAAGTGTTGGCAATAAGCTAGCATTTGCTAAAACTCTGGTAAAAGGAACAGACACTAATGCTAAATGTATTCCACCAGAAATGCAAACCAAACTCATTACAGGGTTTAAGCTAAAAAGATCAAAAAGAAATGAACGAACAGGTTTAGATGTAGCGGAAGCTACTGTATTAGCTTCATAGGCTGAACAAATACAAAGTATTACGAGCAATGAAGTATTTCTTCCATCCCAGTTTAGTTTCCTCCCGTCCCTAAGTTAAGTATTTCTTCCATCCCAATTTACTTGCCTCCCATCACTAAATTCCAAAGTTTCACTTCGATCATTCACACTAGACAGTAATGCTACTTTATTTTATCAGTTTGATGCTAAATTCTTTCAACTAATACCTTATCTTTTCATATCTTGACAAGGAAGGTACCTTAAATATTTCTTTTCATAACTCTTGCTTTATGTAAGTATTTCAGTATCTATAAATAAGATAAACATTTAAATCCTTATTAACCAGAAGCAAAAGTAAAAATAAATAAGAAACGATATACAATCATCAGTCTAAGGAACAGTAAAATGAAAAAGACTACATTGACTGATTCTAAAAGGTATAAAATTATTAGTAATAACAACTCCTTCCCCCACCACTCCAGGTTTCTTCTTAAAATAACAACTTTCCAAACAGGCAGGTGTTGTGAATGGTTGTTAACAATTTTCATATGATTAAAAGGGCAGCCCGGTGCACTAAGCTCGCGCTATGCTCGGGGTCTGGAGAATGGCCGGACCACAAGGGTCTATTGTACGCACCCTTACCCTGCATTTCGGCAAGAGGCTATTTCAATTTTCATATGATTATTTCACCAATTCAATACAGAACTTAAGTTGTATAAACTGAATTTACACCATCAGTTCAATTTAATAGGTTATAGCAGATTACTATTCTATTTCCCAATTTACCATATCAGGCTTCCAATCTGAATTAACATTAACCTTATAAATCCATATAGTGTCGGTGCACAGAAATTACAATCTTTCAAAAAAAATGTATCTTCTGGTGCTTTGCTGTTAAATTTTGATATAAGTAACCAAAATAACAAATTTGTCAACTTCTTATAACCATTATTAACTACTAAGATGACATTTGATGAAAAAATGAAATCTTTCATAAAAATCAGAGATAAAACAGAATTCTTTTTCAAAGCTAACAACAATGAAATCTAATTTCATAAAAATCAGAGATAAAATAGAATTCTCTTTCAAAGCTAACAACAATGAAATCTAATTTCATAAAAATCAGAGATAAAATAGAATTCTCTTTCAAAGCTAACAACATAAAGAGTGGCTGTATTCATTAACAAATTCTCATCATTTCTAGAAAAGGCGGAGCTAGGATTTTAAGCTTATGTGTTCGGGATTCTAATCGTTTTAAGTTACTGAATAATAATTTATACATATTTAATAAATTTTTAAGACAAATACAGGGTTCAAACCAAAAGTTAATGGGTTAACCCGCTCCGGGCACTCGATCTAGATTTCTAGCTTTCATCTGAACGGATATCTTTTTGCAAATCTAAACACACACACAAAAGAGAAATTAATTGACAAACTCACACAGTAAAAGTAGGAGAGAAGCTAAAAAGTAAATTGATTGACGAACCTACAAGCTCGACACGAGACGTTGAAGATAGAGGGGAAATGCCTTCACATTAGTACTTGCTAAAAAAAAAAAGCAGAAGGTTTTTGTAGAAGGAAATAAAGGCTTCTGAGAGAAGCTTCATGTCTTTTCAAAAATAATAACCGTACCCGCCACAAAATAAAAAGTGTTTTTTTTAATGTATTCATTCGCATGTGCATGTCAAGTGAGGAAATGTAGTACATTATTTTTTTTAAATGTTTTTATTGTTGATAATATGATGTTTTGCGCAATTACATTTTGAAATATAAAATTATATTTGAATATGCAGTTTACTAGGAAAATATATTTTAGTTTTGTGAATAGGAAAACAGTGTTTTTAGAAAAGCTTGAAAAGTGGTTTGGTTTTTGAAAAACTAATTTTCGAAAAATCTCCAAAAACTTATAAATCTCATGGACAAACATGTTTTTGAAAAAAAAAAAAATTCTATGAACAAACGGGGCCTAATTATCTGGATGTGAAAAAACATGCAGAGGGAAAATAGGTAGGGAAAATGACATTGTATAGCTGCTCTCAAAATAATAGCCAAAAAAAAAAAAAAAAAAAAATATATATATATATATATATATATATACACACACACACACACACTCTCACATCAGGTACGTTATATACAAAAATCATATAAATTTTATATAATTTTTCGATTAGCGAATGTAAATAGTTTTTGACGCGGATTAAAAGCGATAATACCTTAAATACGTATTGATGGAGTGAATGAATAGTGAATTTGATATTTGTTTGAACAATTCCGATTGAGATTAAAAGTATAAAAGAGTATTTGTGAGTTTGAATTGTACTATATATTTGAATGTGTTTATTTGAAGGTAAATTTCATTAATGGATGGTATGAGAACCAGTATTGCTTTAAATTTATCAATAAGTTATTACCACTTTATCTATAATTAATTTGATAACTTCACTTAGATATGATCAGTAACGCTGTGCTTACCTGTACCCACGAAAGTTAACAGTTAGAGGTCGTTTGTTAGTTGGTCAGGAGAAAAGTTATTTATTGGGGCAACATAACTTATACAATGTTTGACAGTCATTAGTTATTTTGTACAAAATTCAACATAACTAATATCGTGTTTGGTTGTCATTTTATAATTCTACATAAATAATACATGTATAAGTTATGAGCCGTGTATTACTTTATGCGAGGTAGAAGATGGAATAACTAATACATTATAAAATATTAAAATGACAAATTTATCCCTATCACTTTACACATAAAGGCCTCCTTCGATAGATTTATTTGTATCAAAACCTTTGGAGAGCACTGATGCCTCACTGCTAGGCTCTTCCTCTTCTCAATCTATTAGAGACAAAATCAGTAAATAAGTATTTAACTTTAAAATTTATATAATGCATATCAATTTCTAATACAGCAAACCAAATATTCAAAAAAATAATCCATGCGTAACAAATTCATGTATAACTAATACTTGCATAACGAATCCTTGTATTACTTATTTTTGCATAACTGATATCTGCATAATTGATACTTGCATAACTCTAACGGGAAATCAAACTACCCCTTAGTTTGTGATTTAATTTGGTAAACTCATCTTTATTATGAGTTGAACTCATATTTTAAAACCATGTTTAGAATGTGTTGAGATGCTCGGATTTCTTAGAGATGGATATTCACCTTAGATGAATTCTATGTTATATTTGGTACTTAATTGTGTCCCATTCATGCTTTCTTACTGTATTAGGTGAAAGTTTGATTTGTTAAAGGTGAATATAATTTATGTAACCGAATTAGTGAATTAATGATGAATGTGAACGATTATAATTAGTGTTGGAATTGACTGAGAATAATGCTTGAAGAACATAATTAGTTCAAAGCATCTACTCTTAGCTGTGAGCGATAATAAGGAACATTGCAGTGTTATTCAAATATCAACCTGATTTGCTGCCTATAAACACTTATTATTGCTAGCCAAAAACTTAATGTTTCATTTATATAAATAGTTATCTTCTCAATGTATAACTAAAAATAATTTAAATGTCTTTATTTGCACCGTAAATAGAAGTTATAAAATGTAATTTATGCAATTCTAATTTTACCTTCTAAATTTTTATCATTTATTCAATCTTTTTTAAAACACTAATATAAAAAATAATTCAAGTGTAAGAATTAGCATACGAATTAACATAAATGCATTTTTCTTTTTAATAAAAAATAGCAATTGTGTCTAAACTACACAATTTATATTTATTATTTGTGATGACCCAAAGTGTCATCTTTAAATTTAATAATTAATTATGTATTCTAAGACCTCAAAAAATATTATTTATCATTCATCAACTTGCGTGCGCAGTCCGTATAATTTTACGGAAAGTTTTTTGTGTGAAAAATGAATTAAAGTATAAAATAAAGCTTTAAAACTCAACTGAGTTGACTTTGGTCAATATTTTGAGCAAACGGACTCGGATCAGTGTTTTGACAGTTTCAGTAGGTCCGTATCGCGATTTGCGACTTGGGAGTATACCTAGAATTTAATTTGGAGGTCCTTAACTCAACTTATGGTCATTTAACAAAAACTAGTAATTTAAAGGGTAAAGATTTTCAAAAGTTTGACCACGGAGTTGACTTTTTGATATCGGGACCGGAATCCGATTCTGGAAATTTAAATAGCTTTGTTATGTCATTTATGACTTGTGTGCTAAATTTGAAGTCATTCCGAATTCATTTAACATGTTTCGGCACAAGATTTGTAAATTGAAAAGTTTAAACTCAAAAATTCGAATCGGAGTGTGAATTGTAATTTCAGCGTTGTTTGACGTGATTTTAGACCTCGAGTAAGTCCGTATTATATTACGGGACTTGTTGGTATATTCGAACAGGGTCCCGAGTACCCCGAGTGTGATTCGAATCGAAATCGGAACAAGAATTGGACTTAAAGAAAAATCTGAAATTTGGTCTTCTGGTGTAATCGCATCTGCGGATTTTTGACCGCATGTGCGAGCTCGCAGAAGCGAGCTTCCTATCGCAGATGTGCCCAGACGTGGCTGGGCTTCGATCGCAGAAGCGGACAGCTCCTCGCAGAAGCGTGTCCGCAGATGCGCACCAAATCACGCAGAAGCGAAACTGGGTTGGCCTGGGGGTCTTCGCAGGTGAGGCCATTTTGCGTAGAAGCGGATGTCGCAGGTGTGACAGGAATGTCCGTAGATGCGCAACTTTACCTAGCAGCCTGGCATCGTAAATGCGAGCCTTATCTCGCAAATGCGGAACTTTTATCCGCATATGCGAAAATGACTAGGTAGAGCCCATAAATTTGGAAGTCGCCATTTGTACTCATTTTTGAGTTTTAAGTCTCGAATTTAGGCGATTGTAGGGCGATTTTCACAGGGAAAAATTGGGATGAGTGTTTCTTATCCTATATTGATTATATTTCATGATCCCATACTTATTTATATCATGAATCTATGAATTTATGGAAGAAAAATCATATTTTTTGTAATATCTTCCAAAAACGAAAATTTAGATTTGAAGGACCGTTTGACATCGGAATTTGGTAATTTTTATATGGTTGGACTCGTCTCGGAATGGGTGTTTAAATTTCGTAAGTTTTTTCGAGATTTGAGATATGGGCTCCACTGTCAATTTTTAAAGTGATTTTTGAATTTTATCCAGAAAATTAGTAAATTCATATGGAATTAATTCCTACGATTTGTATTGAGTATATCAAATTGTTTGTGAATAGATTTGAAGCTTTTGGAGACAAATTTAAAAGGAAAAATTGTGGTCGAGTAATTGATTGAAATTGCAAAGCGAGGTAAGTATCGTGGTCAACCTTGACTTGAGAGAATAGAACCCTTAAATTATTTGTTATGTGAAATGCATGTGAACGACGTATAGGCTAGGTGACGAGTGTCTATACGTCATCAAATTAATTGTTTGCATAATTATTTAAAAATTCTAAATTTATTTTAATACACGAATTAACTGTTATAATAATCGTCTCTCTCTCATTCTTTGTCAAATATTAATTCTTGAATTCTTGCATAATTGCTACATCCTTGCTTGATTTATGTGCATTAATTGCAACTTGACATCTAGCATATTAAATATTAAACTGCCTATTTTCTCCCTGATTTTCATAATAAATTGTTAATTACCATTGTTTGTTTCATAATTAAATCATAAGTACTATATGCTTGTTGTCTTATAATTTTATATTAATTATTGTATTTATTGGGAAATTTCTTCTATAAGAATTGGTAAATGAATATATTGGAGGAGCGGATTGCACGCCGTAACAGAATTGATTTAAATGAATATATTGGAGGATTTCACGCCGCAACATAATCGATTGAGATGAATATATTGGGAGATCAGGTTGCACGCCGCAATAAATTTATTAAAAGTCCACATTGGGGGATCGGGTTGCACGCCGCAACAGACTTGTTTAAAAGTCCATATTGGGAGATCGGGTTGCACGCCGCAACAGACTTATTTAAAAGTCTATATATACTTGACTAAAATAAATATATTGGAGGATGAAATATGAATATATTGTGGGAACGGTTTGCACACTGTAACGAAAAATGGTAAAAATAATAATTGGTTATGACTGCTGAGTTGGTTTTAATTGTTAAAATGAATCACCTGAATTATTTCTATTATTGTTGTTATTATTATTATTATTGCGTAAAGGTTAATGTAAGTGACCTGTCTTAGCCTCGTCACTAGTTCGTCGAGGTTAGGCTTAGCAATTACCAGTACATGGGGTCGGTTGTACTGATACTACACTCTGCACTTCTTGTGCAGATTTCGGAGTTGGTCCCAGCGGCGTACCATAGACTTGCTCGGATTTCAGCTACCAGAGGAGACTTGAGGTATAACTGCACGGCGTCCGCAGTTCTGAAGTCCCCGTCTACTTTACTTTAGCTGTGTGTTTGTTTCCAGACAGCTTTATTTTATTCAGACCTTTATTTGTATTATTCTAGAAGCTCGTGCACTTGTGACACCAATTCTGGGATGGTATTTAGACTCCGTTATTTTTATGGATTATTCACTACATTTCAGACTTTACTTCCGC